TTCAAATTGCACCCGAGATTTCTTTAAGGCAGTGTTTCTCAACCATGGCAGCTTTAAGATGGGTGGAATTCTGGGAGTTGAAGTTCACTTATCTTAAAGCTGCCAAGGTTGGGAAACACAGTTCTGGGGCTTCAGAAGGGATTCACAAGCAAAGGTTGTTGAACTAGGTTGTTTTGACATTACACTTTTGTTTCTATCCTTAACAGGTTGTCAAAGAAACAGCGAAGAAAGCAAAGAACAGCAGGCGTAAGTTGCTTTTTTGTTTGTTTTAAAGTGAATTTCCCTTTGCATGCTTTCATGTTGTGATCTGTTTGAACATAGCATTGATTGCTGGCAATGCCCTGCTGAATAAACTTGCTGAAATATTTTTGCATTTTATGAGGAGAACTAGCTAACCTTTCAGAGCTAGTTGCAGCTTGGCCTCTCCGACATAGCCTCATTTTGAGGAAATGGAGATGGCAGCCTTCCCTTTGTAGAGGACCCCACCACTAGACCATTTTCTGCCAAGTATAACATGGCTTACAGGAGGAGGTTGCTGGATACCCAAGTTCAGAAGATGAAAAAGTTTTCAGGCTTCTTCAGAAAGTCTGTGCATGTAAAACTTTTGTCCTCAGCCTTCTATTTACCTCCATGATTTCTGTGCTGGAGCTGAAGGCTTCCTTGAATGGGAACAGATTTAGTAGTGCCCTATGTTGAAAATATGTAAAGCCTTCCCCAAGTGGTAGATGTTCCAGGTGATGGCTATTTTGTAGCACCTGGGAGGCACCAGGCTGGAGAACATTGGTTTGCATGTTTGTGTTCAGATGTGATGTTCTAGCATACCAAGGCATGGTTTTCTTCATCTTGCAAACAGACTTTGCAGATCTCTTGTGATCATGATGAATGTATCTAGGCCGTTATCTCCCATTATTCCTCTGAGGGCTCTCTTATTCTTCCAACAGACCCCGGAGGATCCTTCCAATGACAGTATCCCTGAGCAGCAAGTTGAAGAGGCAAGTCCTGTTTGCAGCAATGACCCAGAGAGGATGTCTGAAGAATCAGAAAATGTCAGCAAAAGCCATAATTCAAATGATGTTGGGGAAATTTCAGCACCTACAGCAGAATCCAAAACTGAGATGAAAAGGTAAATATGGTTCTCTGATAATAACAGAAGGGAGTTGTTGCTAATGAAATGTAAGGAGTTGGAATAGAAACCTTGTGAAAATGTTTTATATAGTCTATAGCAGGGGTCCCCAACCTGTGGGCTGTGACCCACTGCAGGGCTGTGGCCTCCTGGCTACTGGGCCACAGGACAGGCTGGCCAGTGCATGCGTGTGTGCGTGCACACACCCACTCGTGTTAGCTCTGTGGCTGTGGGGCGCGAAAATGGGATGACGTGCTGCAGGGTGTGAAAACAGGACGCTGCTGTGCCGCAGGGCATGAAAATGGGACGCTCTGCCGTGGGGCACGAAAACGTCAACACCACACTGCAGGGCATGAAAACGGGGCACCGCGCAAGAATGGGGCAGGGCTAGTGAGTATCACGTAGGCCCTAGTGTGGTCCCATTTGCATCACGTGCGTGCTTGCGGCCTTGTTAGCGCATGTGCACATGCACGCATAAAATGCTTCCCCCTCCCTTCCCCTCCGGTCCACCAACCGAGAAAGGTTGGTGACCTCTGGTCTACAGTACCTGCTCAAAGACTAAGAATTTATTTTATTATTTTAGCAATCCTAAAGGTAAAGGAAAGAAAGCAAAAGAAGCCAAGAAAACATCCCCAAAGGTTTCTTCAGAGCACCAGGTAAAGGTATGTACAAGAGATTAAGGCAGTACACTTTCACTGTGACAAAACAAATTGTCCTTGACCTACAACCACAATTTCTGTTTGTTAAGTGAGTTTTGCCTCATTTTACGACCTTTTTTGCCACAGTTGTTAAGTGAATCGTTGCAGGTATTAAATTAGTAAGCTGGTTGTGAAGTGAATCTGGCTTCCCCATGGACTTTGCTTGTCAGAAAGAAGCAAAAGGTGATCACAAGACTCTGGGACATTGCAACCGTCATAAATATGAGTCAGTTGCCAAATGGCTAAATTTTTTCACATGACCATGGGACTGCTGTAGTGGTCGTAAGTGTGAAAAATGGTCAGAAGTCACTTTTTTCAGTGCCGTTGTCACTAAATAAACTGGTAAATCAAGGACAACTCATACTGAATTTGGCATCAAGTCTTAACTCTATCTATCTAAGACTGAGGGCAATAGAAAAAGGGGACGACAGAGAATGAGGTGGCTGGATGGAATCACTTAAGCAGTAGGCATGAGCTTAAATGGGCTCCAGAAGATGGTAGAGGACAGGAAGGCCTGGAGGAACGCTGTCCATGGGGTCGGGATGGGTCGGACACGACTTCGCAACTAACAATCTAAGGCAGTGGTGGCGCACCTATGGCACGTGTGCCAGAGGCAGCACTCAGAGCCCTTTCTGTGGGCACGGATTCTGTGCCCTGGAGATGGTGAGGGACTGGTCCCCACCATCCTGGCCCTGCCCACCCAGTCTGCAATAACCACCGCGGCCACGCCCACCCAGCACTCGGTGATAAATAAGTGGGTTTGGGGTTGCAGTTTGGGCACTGGGTCTCTAAAAGGTTCGCCATCACTGATCTAAGAGAAATGTCTATCCCTTTTTTTTTGTTTATTTGTTTAATGAAAATGTTCTTCAGGTTGACTTCAATCCCCAGTGTTTTCCTGGATCCACCCATGCCATTCTATGGGAAATAACATGGAAGTCATTTAGCATTTTTTCTTTTGAAATCTGTTTCAATTTCCCATCAGGTTTACAGCCCCCTCTAGCCAGATGCTATATCAGCTTCTGAAGATTAGCCAAGTTCTGCCATCTGCTGAGGCTTTTTTCCTTAACATGTTCTCCAAACTCTAAATGTGACCACTTCAAAAGCTTATCTGATTTGTAATTCCACCTAACTCACTTATGCTCATTAAAAGAAAAAGAAAAAAAACCCCAGCTAAGCAATATCAGATATGCTTATAACGTGAATGAGAGAAAATCAAAAAATCCCACAACTATGGGTTACAGAAGGAAGTCCAAAAGGATCCTTGTATATTGCTGTCCATAAAATTACATGGACATGTCTAAATCACCAAGATTTCAGCTCCTTTTATAGATATCCCTTTGTTTTGCAGAGCTGTCTTAGCCAGCTTTCAGCCTGGGAACAGAATTGTTGATCACTCATTTAAGGACTGTAGCTTTCTAGAAAGGATGACTGGTTTTAAGTCTAAGTTTAGCAAATAACCGAGTCAATAGAGCATCAATTCTCCAGGTTTAGACAATGTAATTGAGAACCAGGTGGTAATATTCAGTGGGATGGCAGCTTCCTTTTTCTGCCTGTTTGCAAGCTTGTAGAAATATGTTTTGCTGCCAATGTAGGTCATACCAGGCCTTAGACCAGGGGTCCTCAACCTTGACAACTGAATTCTGGGAGTTGAAGTCCACAAGTCTTAAATTTGCTGTTAGGACCTACTTCAAAACCTCATCCAGAGAAAGCAGGACTCTGGGAACAGTTTCTTTCCAAAAGGAACTTTTATTAGAAGCTGATAGCAGGCATAATAGGCAGGATCTGAGGGTTTCCCGTTCAGATCAATAGGTTAAAAGAGTCCTAAGCATTACCCCATCCCAATAATTCATCTGGTCAGTTTGAATGGGCCAATTCCCAGGTGTTAAGTCCACTGTGGGAAAGGAGCTGATAACAATGTCCTTTCCCATGCTTGTGAAGAGGTTGTTGGGTCTTCGCACCTTCCCTTCCGCAACAAGAGATAAGCCAGACGGCCAGAGGCACATTCCTTTCTCACCCCAAGGTAACATCAAGGGAGAGACAGTTCAAAGAGTAAATATGTAGGAACAGCGGAAAGGATACATTATAGCAAAGCAGAAACATACCACAGAGCCTTCCCTCCTCCCCCTCAGGAGAATGGCAGAACCCTCAGAAAGAAATGAATTAGGAAAGAAATGAGATAGATTCCCCCCCCCCGAAAAGAATGGGTTCTGACAGTTGCCAAGGTTGAGGACCCCTGCCTTAGACTACTCCAATCAGGTAATTCTTTATTACATTTTTGCTGACATCAGAGAAATACTATATTAATGATAAATGTCTATGGAGATTCTCATATATATTAGCAGTAATAAAATTTGCCCGGTCTTCATTTCTTCTGCTTTTCCATGACAGCTTGAAGGCCTCCTGCAGTGTGTTACCTGCAGCTGTGAATTTCAGTCACGGAACAAATTGTTTGAACATCTGAAAGCCACGGGGCACGCCAAAGCCGTAGCCGCCTCCACTGCCAACACAGCCATCAGCAGCAGAAGCAAGAAAGAGAAGCGGAGAAACAGATAGAGTTTCTGGAAAGCATTGATAACTGTGGGGCTATTCAACTTTGTCACATCAAAAAAAGCACCTTGTTGACCCAAACAGAGAAACAGGTTTTCCCCGTGTAATTTAACTGGGATGAAGACTGCTGGGTCCTGCCATAAACAGAGCAGAAAAGCATTTACACCTGTGCAGCACTTGGTATCTATTTGTGTCTGTATTTTGTTTCATAAAATTGGGCTAAGACCCCGGATTGTTCATAGAGTCTTCCTGCTCCTTGGATTTGTAAAAAACTATATATACAGACAAAGGAAATAAATTATTTTACTGTACATTTCTGTTTATTTGTTTCATTTAGTGATGTCCTCGTTACATTGAATGCACCTTTTTTTGCTACCAACTTGCCTATATTCATTTAGCCCAAGGGTCTTCAAACTTGGCAACTTTAAGACTTGTGGACTTCAACTCCCAGAATTCCTCAGCCAGCCCTGGCTGGCTGAGGAACTCTGGGAGTTGAAGTCCACAAGTCTTAAAGTTGCCAAGTTTGAAGACCCTTGATTTAGCCCAATCATAAGACAGTGGCTGTCAGCCATATCAGTGCCGTCCCTCACACTATGAAACAGGGCTTGCTTCAACTATGACAGAAACAAACATTTTCAAGACTTTAAAGTTATTCTTTTATTGTATGTTTTAAGTTCCAACACCACCTTCCGTGTGCCATGTATGAAGTTTGTAAGTCCCATCTGTGGTAACCACTGATTGAAAACCACTGCTATGAAAGATATTTGGGGAACTGTAGCTCTCTTGTTCTTGCTATATTCTAATGCCCAAGGTTCTTCAGCAAAAGAGGCTTAAGTAAATTATCTACTAAAGGAAATTCTGGAACTCCATATGATTCTTATGCTCAGAGCCATCTCAGTTAGCCCGGATAAGCAAGATTTGCAAGTGTCAGTTCAGCTTTAGCTTCTTCATCCCTGATCCAAGAGCTAAGAATTGGATTAATATTCTTTTATCTTAATGTATGCTAAGAGTATTTATTAAAGCACTAATCAGCATGAAACCTTCACTCTGTTCTAGCTGGTGGGGGAAGTGTTTGTTGCCCCTCAGAAATTAGCAGTAGGTTTTCTGAATGTCTGTTCAACATAATACAGTGTTTCACGTTCTAGTTTCTACTTTATGAAATTGCATTCTGTCAAAACATTAAAGGATTTGGATATGTGCTTTCCCACCTGTAATTCAAAGAGGAACAGCAAGAGAATTAGCTTGAGCCCTTATTATGGGAGAGGATTGGAAAGAATTTATATTCTGCTGCTCAGCTGTGTTTCCAGTGATTTTCCCGGCAGAAGCGTAATCTCAGCACTCAATCTTAAAATCCCTTTGTGTAGACAGGAAGAAAAGATGGCTCCCATGTGCTCAGCCAAAACATCAGCTGGGCTTCTCTAAATAAGCTGCGCACATAATGTCCAGCTGCTGCACAAGTAATAAAACAGCCAAATGGAGTTGCGTGCTGAGAAGCCTGTTTCTTTCTGTATGTAACCTTATCCAGATTAATCTCAAAAAATGATTATTATGAATCAATGCTCCAAGCATTGAGTTCTGGTTCATGGATTTATTCACAATGAGTCAAATGTATTTCAGGTCCGGGGGAGGGGGGGAAGTTCTAGTTTTCAGCTGTTCTTTCCATATGTCTTATTAAGGCTTCATGGAAGACGGCCACTGCAAAATCCGCATCTTCCTTAGTAATGCACATCGGAGGTTTAATTCTAAATGTCTTGGGGGAATAAAAAAAAGAGGGAAAATATTATATAGAGAACATTTAGTAGTAGAGATGTTTTGGCAGTAGATATAATCACAAAGCAACATGCTGTACAGTCACTGCTTAAGGGGCAGAGGATGGGGATGGACCAAGCTTAAACAATTCCAGCCTACCACAAACTAAATTTATTGATCCATCTGTGTGGTCCTGCTCTACAATTTATTTTGCAGCCATAACAAAAGGTAGATACGGCCAGCCCCTTCTCATGTGATCGTTTTATGGTGCTTGGCAATTAACCCGCATTTACAGCATCATATGGTCACATGACTGATTCACTGTTTTTGCCAGAAATTGGCATTTCTGGTTTCCTCTAAAAAAGTGCCCATTAGGACAATGAACTGCTTAGCAACCAGCATGACTTACGACAGTAATTCTGGGCTCAATTATGATCGTAAGTTGAGGACTATCTCTACTTCTCTCCCTGTGTTTTGTTTCATGTGCAGGCTAATAAACCTGGAACAAGCAAGTTTGGAAACAAGCAGCAGATGCCAGCTATTTCATACATAGACAGTTGTTATGTGTTCCTCTTTGATAGTAAAGCATTGCTTATAGCGGGGCTGGCTAATCTTTTTCCCCTTGGGGCTAAAGTGTTCTTACTGAGGTCTGGATGGGGCATGATAATGACATGGTAATGTTACTGGAGCTGTGTGCTTTTTACCATCCTAAATTACTCTGTATCACCCTTCATCCTGGCAATGTTCAGCCTTTTGAAATACATACAGAGGAATACTGACTGCCTTATACGTACTCCTTGACTTATGACCACAGTTGAGCCCCCAAATTTTCATTGCTAAGCAAGACAGTTAAGTGAATTGCGCTCCATTTTACGAACTTTCTTGCCACAGTTGTTAAGTGAATCACTGCATGTGTTAAGTTGGTAACATGGAGGTCCAATGAATCTGGTTTCCCCATTGACTTTGCTTGTCAGAAGGTCACAAAAAGAGGATTGCATGACCCCGGGACACTGCAACCATCATAAAGGCATGCCATTTGTCAAGAGTCCAAATTCTGACCATGTGATCATGGGGATGCTGTAATGGTCGTAAGTGTGAAAAGCAGTCATGTCACTTTTTTCGGTGCCATTGTAAGTTTGAAAGGTCACTAAATGAATGGTTGTAAGTCAAGGACTGTACTTTTTTCATAGGCAAATCAGTGATTCTTCCTCAGCATGAGTCATCCTTCTATATACTAAAGAACTGGCTGTGGTCACACCTTAATATGCTTCTCAACATTTACGATACCTGTAAATATATCCCTCCTTTGCCAATCAGCAACCCCATATCTTTGCAGTCTTCCCAAATCTGGTCCATCTCTTCAGCTGGAAGTGGCTGGCAAGTTTCCTAAGAAGAAAGATTAAACTTCAGTTTCCCACCTTTTTTTTCATTTTTTTTTTAAAAACAGGAAGACATGAAAGAATCAAACAACACCTAGCCATTGATCCCCAAAACCTGTAAAATTGCATTCTGACATACCCAACATTACAACATCTTGTGCTTTATTTATTGATGAAATTAATACTATTTCATTAAGAACTCAAAATAGCTTTTGAACGTCTGCGCATGCACAAAGACTCACAACACAAAAATGCAGCAGGTAGAGCTTAATTTTTCAGTAATTGCCATAGTGAGTTAGTGGTGTTTGCAAGAAGACGCTACAGGAAGTCCTTGACAGATGACTAATGGAACTTGCCTGTTATGATCATTTGTCATAGCGGCTACAAAACAGGTTGGTGGATTTCACTACCTTTTTTGTAGTGGTCATAAACTGGCCACCATGATCATTAAGTGAACTAATGGAAGTAAGGGCCAGTTTTCAGCAAAAACAGACACATGACTGCAGGATGCTGCAAAGGACCACAAATTCAGCCACGTTGCTGAGCACCCAAAGTTTGGTCAACCATCCATTAGAAATTCAAACCTGATTTGTAGATTCTTTTTTCGGGTCAGTCATAACTTTGAATAGTTGCTAAGGGACTGATAAAAAATAAAGGACTACCTGTAATTTCAGTAATGCCAAAGCATATTGGACCTACAATCAAGATTCAATGTGTAGTTCTCTGTTCATCTGTTGGTTTGGGGGTTTTTTGCACCATAGTTTTAGAGTTATACCATTAATATTCACTCTGATTTTACTGATTCTATATTTTGCAGTAGGTATTATGGTTATTTAGTCAATTTAGCATTATATATAGTTTTATATAATAGTATGCCAATTACATAGTTATAGCACTATATTCCTCATGGATTTAATAACCCTAATATTACATTTATAATCTTAATGGAACTATTATGTTTTCATATTTGTGCTAGCACCTTACAATTTAATTATTCTTATAGCATGTAAATTAGACTTGCAAAACAGGATGGTTTTAATTTTAGTGCTGAGTATAAATTTTATTGATCAAAATATGATGGAAATGATGCTTCTCTACTCAGTGTACCATTCTGAGCATTACAGTTCCAGAGATCTATCAATATTTTAGAGATAGTTCAGAGGAGGCCAATAAAAATGATACAAGGCCTTCAAAGCATGTTCTAAATCTATGGGGATAGGGAGAAAACAGTTGGACTCTTCAGTATCAAACAGTGTTAATCTTGGAAACTCCCAGAATTCCCAGACAATCACGCTATTTGGGGGAATTTTGGAAATTGAAGTCCACACATCTTAAAGTTGCCAAGATTGGAAACATTGGTCTGGAGTGAAGAAACTGAGGGGGGACACGACATGATAGCTATGGTGAGATACATAAAGGGAAGCTACAGAGAAGATAGTCAGAAATTATTTGACCTGGCCCTAGAAATTAAGGGTAGAAATAGCAAAGGAAAATCAATAGCATTTGTACAACAGTGAATAGTGAACAATAGCGAACATTCCAGTTAGAATCCAAAGGTTATAGATTTTCCCTGTGGTTTTTTTTTAAAAAACAACCACCTCTCAAGAATGGTAAACTGATTTTCCTGCACATTGCAAGGGGTTGGATTAGATGACCCTTGTTATCCTTTCCAACTCAATGCAAGTACCTTACAAGCACTATAGGCCCACCAGGTGCAGTTCATACCTTATTCTTGACCATCTCTATCCCAATCATAAGTCCTTTGCCACGAACATCTCCAATAATTTCAAACTTATCCCGCAGCTTTGCAAACTCTAAGAGCAAGTGAGTTCCAATCTCTTGGCAATTTTTCTGCAAGCCATCTTCTGCTATTGCCTAGACACACAAAATAATAGAAGAAATCATCAAGCATTCTGAAATAGCATTGCTGGCACATTTAATTCTACAAAGGAGCTTAAAAACTAGACCGAAATAACTTTGATAAGAGTCAAAAATATTAACATGTCAATCAAATTCACTACGTGCCAATACATGAGAAAATTCTGGAGTATATTTGTTTTAATACAATATTCAGGGGCTTTGGGGGAGGGGGCTCCACCATTAAAATAGTGGGTACAGCTAAGGCAATCAAAGTCCCGGCCCAATATATTTGCATGCAATGCTTGTGACCCACATTAAAAAGGGGGCAAAGCTTCAACCACCTAAAGTAGTGGCCCCAATACTTTGCAAGTATCCCTGGCAATATGGAGAATATGTATTTTCCCAAGAAACTTTCTTGCTGTCTATATGCAAAGCACAGTGGAAATTATACATGCATATTTTTTTTCTCCCATTCCACTGTTTGAGTCTCAGAAACTGGACAAATCCCTCAAGTTTTCTTGACAAGGTTTTTCAAAAGTGGTTTGGCTTTGCCTCCTTCCCAGAGCTGAGAGAAAGAGAGGTCACCCAAGTGGTTTCATACCCAAAGTGGTACTAGAACTCACCATCTCCCAGTTTCTAGCCTGATGCCTTAACTACATCAAATTGGTTCTCTACACATGTGTGATATACCCATTAAGTTCACTGGAATCTGCAATAGATGAATAATCTGCATTGAACTATCTGCATGGGAATCTCTCAATCCATAGTTTTGATGCTTATTACATGAATGGAAACCTTCAGTCTGCCTGTGCATTTCCTGCATTTAAGCAGAGAAGGAAGTTATGTATGAAAATAAAAAGAATCCCAGATTGTTTTGCTAGAATCTTTAGCCAAGATGACTAAATGTGCATTTATTAAGGCACAGCAAGCCATCATTTTTTGGGTGAAAATCCCTTTAATTTAAGAGGAGAAAGTCAATTTTGTCAAAATTCATAATAACATGTAAAAACCAGTGAAAACATTTTCTTACATCCAGGACCGCAGATCCAACTGCACATGCCATAGGATTGCCTCCAAATGTGTTGAAATGGAGGTTCTCTGTCAAACTATGTGCAATTTCTAAAACCAAAATATATTAGTATTAAATAAATGAAGTTGTAAAGTCATTCATTAAAGAAATCAGCAGCTGGAAGTAACATAAAAAGAGAGATCTATGTTTACAATGCAGGCAGACCTTGATTTACAGCATTTGTTTAGCGACTGAAGTTACAACAGCACTGAAACAGCTGTTGGCTTCCAGTAAGGAAAGTCAACAGGGGAAACTGGATTTGCTTAACAACCATATGATTCACTTAACAACTGCAGTGATTTGCTTAACAACTGTGACAAGGAAGGTCGTAAAATTGGATGCAATGAGGTTAGCAACCTGTTCCTCTAGCAATGGAAATTCTGGTCCCAACTGTGCTTGTAAATTGAGGATTAACTCTATTTGGAACCTCAGTGTTCCCATAGTGACTCAGAAGTTCTTTTGTGAACCTGTCCTCTCAATGTTCAGTGGATCAGATTGAAAGTAAGTCTGTATGTAGTCAAAGCCCTTTCCACCTAAAGTGATTTTTATCTAAAGGTTTCTTTGGTTTATGCATATACCAGATGCAGGTGCCCATAGTCTAATGCAAAGTCATTCGTTCACTAGGCTGAACTATGCATTTGAATTGGATTTGTTTACACTTCAAAACCAGATTGTATTTAAAAGTAATTCATTTATTTTATCCAGTCAAGGCATCCAAAAACTACAGTATCACATTATTTGACAATTAAGCTCTGCAATTCTACCAATTCAATTTTCATACCACAGCCTGAAGGAGCTGCAAAAATGAAGACTTAACAACTTCATGGTGATCAAAATAATCTCATTCAGGCATATTTATCTAATCTCTGTATTTTAAATTTACGATTATTTATAAAATTTATGACTGTACCAGGCTCAAAAACAGTAACTGTGAGAGGGACCTTGGAGTCCTAGTGGACGATCACTTAAATATGAGCCAACAGTGTGCTACAGCAGCCAAAAAAGCTAATATAATCCTTGGTTGTATAAAAGTGCAAAGAAGAGCAACTAAGATGATTAAAGGCCTGGAGACAAAAACATATGAAGAATGGTTGCAGGATTTGGGTTTGACTAGTCTAGAGAAAAGAAGGACTAGGGTGGACATGATAGCAGTATCCCAGTATTTGAAAAGTTGCCACAAAGAGGAGGGGTCAACTTATTTTTTAAAGCACAAGAGGGCAGGACAAGAAACAATGGGTGGAAACTAATCAAGGAGAAAAGCAAGCTGGAATTAAGGAGAAACTTCCTAACAGTGAGAATAATTAACCACTGGAATAGCTTGCGGTCAGAAGTTGTGGGTGCTTTATTGATGGAGGTTTTTAAGAAGAGACTGGATAGTCACTTGTCTAAAATATTATAGCATCTCCTGCTTGAGCAGGGAGTTGGACTAGAAGACCTCAAAGGTCTTCCAGCTCTATTCTGACTGAGATTCCTAGAAATACGACAATTTCATAGAATAGGGCTTTGGGTTTAGTTTCTGTTGACTGAGAGTGAAAAGGAAACTGATAGCTTCTTTAAAACATTTATTTTAATTTAAAATATGCAGGTGAAACATAATGGAAGAAAATTGTAAGATTATTTTGTGGGCCACCTGCTGTTAGCTGGAGATTACATCTTTTATGATAAAGTCATAGGATAAACCTTAAAGAATAACACAAGTATTTCATAAGCATTCATGAATCACAATCTGGTTCACCCTATTAACAGAACATTGTAGTGACAGTATTTTTATGTGCCCTGGCAGAGACAAGGGAAGGAAAAAGAAAAGAATATGAGGAGAGACAGAGAGAATAATAATTAGAGTCCGTGTCTGTTCATAGTGCCTGTTTATGGCTTTTCTCTATATGTGTTGTGATTCCTCGCCAGCCAGTGGACCTGGCAACTGAGTCTGAGGAATCAGAATCTCCAAAACAGGAAAACAACAGAGAATTATCTGACCTTTCTTCCATGTTGATGTGATTGCACCCCCTGTGTGGCATAACCCACACCCCTGGACTCTGTGCAGGAAAGGCTGTTCACTCTGAAACCCACCAAGTGTAAAAGCAGTTCTCACCCGCTGTGGTCACAACTGCTGCCATGGGAAAGCCGTTACCAATTCCTTTGGCCATGGTAACTATGTCTGGAATGACATCGTGACCTTGAAATCCCCAGAAATGACTGCCCGTTCGACCAAATCCAGTCTGAACCTTCGGGAAACATAGAAAAGGTGCTTTAAAAAGGTTTAGCACATGGCTGACTGGAGAATTCTGGGAGTTGAAGTCCACAGATCTTAAACTTGCCAAGGTTGGACACCCGTGCTGTAGTTTCTCTATATAAGTAGCATCTATATTTTAAGGCTATTCTTTCCTGATAGGGAATTGTATATATTCCGTCAGGTTCTATGGAGATTCTCAATCATCCAGATCATGGTTGTCCTAAAGGTGTTTTTTCCCCCTCCAAAAGGCAACTGGACTTCTTTGTTTTCTTTTCTCTGAAAACATTTCGCTTCTCATCACAAAAGCTTTTTCTTCTGAAGTAGTTCTGAAGAGACGTTTTGGATGTGAAATGAAAAAATTTCAAAGAAAAAACCCCCAAGAAAGTCCAATTGCCTTTTGAAAAAAGCACCTTTGGGTTCCCGATCAGATATGCTACATGAATGCCAGTATTTCATCAGCTGCTCTTACACAGAAGTGACTTCCAAACTGAAATCTGTGTATGGTAAAGTCCTTAGAGAAAACACCACCCACTTCTCCCAAGTTCAGGATTCAGTTTAAATTTTGTTCTGTGTTTGCTTTCTAGTTATTTCTAGAAGACACACCAACTGTCTTGCTTGTAGGAGGAGGAATTCCCTCAGGTCAACTTGTTTTGCAAAGTCTTCTTCAAATGCTTTGTAGAGTCCCAATCCCAGTGACCCAGCCAATCTAACCGCTCTGCCAATGATATCTAAAATAGCCGTCTTTGTAGAAACAATGCATATAAAATTTGGAGACAGGAATCACATTCAGATATTCACCTCATCTGCTATGCAGAGACCTCCTCTTTCACGCACCAACTGATAAGCCTCCTTTAGGAATCCTTTGGGAAACTGAACAGCTCCATTTACACCCTGGAGAAAGCAGACAGACAGGATCAAAAGAAATATTGATCTTCCAAAGAAAATTCCACACAGAATCATAGAGCTGGAAGTAATCTTGGAGGTCTTCTGGACAAATAACCAGCTTGAGGTGGGAGCTATATACCATCCCAGTCAAAATGGTTATCCAGTCTATTTTTGAAAACCTCCAGTGATGGAGCACCCACAACTAAAGGGAAGCTATTCCACTGATTAATTGCTCTCATGTCAGAAAATTTCTCCTTACTTCTAAGTTGGATTTCTTTTTGATAAGCTTTCATGAGTTATTTCTTGTCCTGAGTTCTGATGCCCAAGAGTAGGGGTAGGCAACCTTGGCTCTTTTATGACTCATGGACTTCAACTCCCAGAATTCCTGAGCCAGCCATGCTGAGGGGAAAGGAAGAGGTTTCCAAGCTGAGCCATGCTGGCTCAGGAATTCTGGGAGTTCAAGTCCATGAGTCATAAAAGAGCCAAGGTTGCCTACCCCTGCCCAAAAGAATAAGCCAATCCCATCTTCTCTGTAACAGCCCTTCAAGTACTGGAAGATAGCTATCTTGTCCCCCCCAATCTTTCTCTTCAATAAACTAGATATATATCTAGTTCCCTCAACTGTTCATCATACAGTTTAGCCTCCAGGCCCTTTACCATCTTTGTTGTTCTTCTCTGCACTTTTTCCAGGTTCTCAACATCTTGTTTGTATCATAGTGACCAGAATTGGATGCAATATTGCAATTGTGGTTTCACTAGTGTCCGGCATCACATGAACACCATTTATACCTTGTAGTATAGTGATGCACTTCAATGCACACCACCAGGAGGTGGTACTGTAGCGTTTATTTTCCTTTTAACCCATTACTTGTTTTATCTTTTTCTTGCTAGTGTAGGAAGCCCCCCACCCCACCCCAAAGAAGGAAATATTTTGAAGAATATTAAAAAGACAGAATATTATATTTCCCCAAAGGATCTTAAAGGCAGAAAAGCAGCCCCAGTTTTTCTTAATAGCCCCAGGCAGAGGCCAGCTCTGTAGAAATGCAGATTTGATAATCCCATTCAGAAAGACTGAGCAAATGCTACTTGCAGAAACCCATTCAAGACAGGATCTTTTGAAATCCTTGCAGCAAAACTGATAGCTAACAATAGCAGAGTGATAGAACTAAAACCAGCAACTCCTCACTCAAAAGATCCAACACAGGACATAGCCATCAGCAACAGCCCCAGGGAAGCAGGATATGACCTTTAGGACATAATAGGATTAACGCACACCATCAGAATACTAAAAGGGCACACAGAACCTCAGGTCAAAGTTCATGCCACAGGAACAGGAACAACTCCAAACACAAAAGCCCAAGAAGGTATAAAAACCCTCCACTCCCAGCACCATGTGATCAGCTGCTCCACAGCCACATTTCTCTCTGGTTCTGCAACTCAATAAAGAACCTTCTTTACAAATAGCCTCCATTTTGTTTATTCTCAGCTTGGACTGGACCCTGATGAAGATTTTTCTTTCAACACTAGTAAGGAGCATCAGCTGAGTCCTACTTCTTTCACATGCTGGAATTACAATACCTGGTGAAGTGGCTCTCATGGAAGGTATGTGGTGGGAACAGTGGAAGAGGAGGTATGAAACCTCCAACTTTTCACCATATGGCTCAGCAATACCACATCCATCATGTAAGATTACATGATGGCAGTCTGGGCCTGAACAAAAGGGGTCCATTAGTAGCAGGAGATCTCAACCCAGGATAGGAGGACAAGAATGCAGAAAGTGAGCATATAATTTCCCTCAATGGATGTTCTTAAACAGGTAGGAGAAAGAGAAGGCTAAGACATCTCTACATACGGAATGCATGGGAAAAGAATGTGTCAGATTTGAAACAGAAGTGGGTATATATCCTGTACCATCTCTCCTGCTTATTGAGAGAAAATGCTGCCTATCTACTATTCCCATAAAGATTTAATTCCTAGCTCAGCCAAGTTTTTACAGCACAGTTTATACCAATACTTAGCAGGGTTAAAAGGGTTCAGTTTAAATCCTGAAAGGAAATCCCTTCTGGACCACTTGCAGATCAAGGAATTAAGATGTCCAACAACCATAGAAGTTGTACAGTATCTGAACTATCTGATGTCTTGCTGGTTTCTGCAATTTTTGATTAAACTGGTTGTTGATCCTACTTTTTTTGTCCTGCCTCTTCTCCATCTTTTTGTCTTATTATGAGAAAATCACAGCTTTATATACTATAACTATTCTCTTGAACTAAAGTAATAATAAGCAAACCTCCAAGGTGATGCTGTGAGAGTCAATTTTTCAAATGAAAACAAAGCACATTTTATAGTGTGATTCTATGCATATCTAACACCATTAGTGAGGCTGACTCCCTGGTTAAATGTATGTAGGATAGAGACTACAGTCCTAGAGATATCTAGAAGTCCCACTGAATACAACATACTTAAGGTGACATTATGTTTTATAATGAGGAAGATGTTGTTTTAGGAATCAAGCATAAAGGTAAAGGTTGTCTAGTCAAGTTTGACTGTATGGGGCAGTGCTCATGTCCATTTCTTAGTTGAAGGAGTCAGCATTGTCTGAAGACATTTTGGTGGTCATGTGACTGGCATGTCTATATATACCAAGGCTCACAGAACGCTGTTACTTCCCACCCAAGTGCTACCTATTTATCTACTCGCCTTTGCATGCTTTCAAACTGCTAGGTGGGCAGGAGTTGAGGCAAATAATGGGAGCTCACCCAGTCGCACAGTGCTCAGATCTCAAACACGGGCTCTCAGCTTTCCACATGACAAGCTCAGCATCTTTAACCACTTTAACCACTGCACTTCCTAAGAATCAAGCATAATATGAACTAATCTGCATTGGAAAGAACGATGAAAAGTTTTAGGTCCTTGCAGCCTGTTAAAAGAAACAAAACACTTACTTGAATTGGCTCAGCAATAAATGCAGCGACTTTGTTTGGAACGCAAGTTTGGAGTGTGTCCTTGAATTGTGCAATGTATTGATCGTTTGCATGGCAGGTTCCTGTATTGAAGGAGGTGAGGAGCAATACATTAATTATTTTAAGGCTGTTATTACAGTCCAGTTTATCATTTAAAATGCCAAAGGGCTTTTCCCCGGTTGGCCCACTGTTGGCCCATGAAATTGCCTCTGCTATATCCTTTTTTGGTTAAATCAAATGATGCTGCCTTCATTTAGGAACAGAAGCGGGAGAAGTGGGGGGGGGGGAGATCAGGAGGAAAACAAATGTCATCCTAGTGAATTTCTGCTGAATAAGGATGGACAGCACCAACTCAACATTAGGTGGGACTGGGGTGGAGGTTCGTTCTTCAAGCTCGTGGGTTGGTTTCTGAACATTTCATTACCAGGCTAGGTAACAACTTCAGTGGAGTTTAGGGGAACGACAGTGTCAGTGTTTTTCTGCCTATAAAGGCTTTGTACGGTCAGTAGGTGTTGTGACTGGTCAGGTGTGGGTGTGTCAAGTGACGGTCTTGTGATGGGTCAGATGTGGGTGTATTGTGAGGGTTTGTAATAGGTCTTGTGATGGGGAGGTTATGTCAGGTGAGGGTTACTGGGAGGTGAAGTTCTTGTTTGGGGGGATTTGTGTGGGTTGATTTAGGTTTGGTGCTGTCACTGGTTGGTTGTGCAGTTGATTTGAATTCTGAGGGGTTCATTTGCTGGTTGTAGGTCGATGTGTCTGTTGATGGAATTGCTTGTGGAGTACCAGGCTTCAATGAACTCACATGCGTGTAGGGTGGTAGTATGGCCAATGATTCTGATATTACTCCAATCAAATCCACTGCAGATGTTACCTAGCCTAGTAATGAAACGTTCGGAAACCAACCCAGAGGCTCAGAGAACAGACCTCCAGCCTCATCCTACACCCAAGGCAGTGGTGGGATTCAGCCGGTTCGCACCAGTTCAGCAGAACCAGTAGCTAATTTTTTGTTGCTCAGGCCCAGAATGGACTTCTGGAAGCGGCATCCACACAGAGAACTGGCTGTTCACATATTTGACTCCCACCACTGACCCAAGCTACAGATATTTGCCACCATCGCAAAATTAGGAGGGATTGTATGATCGAGATCTGATTAAACAGATCCTGATAAGTTGAGGTAGTCCTCAACTTATGACTGTAATGAAGCCTGGAATTAGTTGTAAGTTGTGCTGATTGACAGGTGGACCATACCTGATTTTACATCCTTTGTTGCGGTGGTTGTAAAATGAATGAAGTGGTTAGTTACTAAGTGAACAGCGCAGATAAGCAAATATATTGTCCCACAGTGGGCATTTTTTTTTGCAGAAACCGGAAATAAATGCTGTTCCCAGCCAAAAAAAACCTGTTTTAAATAGTACTCACATGATCATGGGATCCTGCGAAAAGCCATAAAGTGGGCCTGTGAAAATCAAGAGTGTTTTCCTTACTAACTAACCTGAGGAACAGGAGCACTTTCGAATTGTTTGCACTGGAGAATCACGGCAGTGGCTTCCTCCCCAAGGACCACGGAAAACATCAGGTAACATTGTCTAAAGAAACAACAGACCTAAAGATGTTCATTATTCCACCATGATATACTTGAACATGCTAAATTTTTAAGAGGTACATTCATGAAGAAAAGACAGAACTGAGATAGCAAAGAGAAATAAAGATGAACCCTTACACTAGAGATCTCACCATTTATTCCTTGTTTATAAACCAAGTTTTCTCTAACATGAGAATCAGAAATGCCCACCTGGCCAACTTCAACCCTTATTGGTAAAGCCCAGGGGTAGGCAACCTTGGCTCTTTTATGACTCGTGGACATTCAACTCCCAGAATTCTTGAGCCACTATGAGTCAGCTTGGAAACCTCTCCCTTTCCCCTCAGCATGGCTGGCTCAGGAATTCTGGGAGTTGAAGTGCACGAGTCATAAAAGAGCCAAAGTTGCCTATCCCTGGTGTAGCCAAATGCAGAACATCCATACTGTAAATCTATCAAAAGACAAATACATGATGGGATTTTACTATTCTATCATTTCATTTTTATGGATGCTACTGGGGCTCAGTAGGATAGCTAGAAATATAATTATGCTTCTGCTTGATTCTTATCTTTGTAATAAGCTAGATTATTTTCTTTTTTCATTTAAGGAGTCTAGATTGTAAAATTAAAGTAGGGAGTGGGTGAATACTAATGACATTATATAGCTCCCAGGTACCATACTGCAGACACAACTGCTACCGTTAAATAAAAGGATCAAAGTACATAATAAGAATTTTCAAATACTTTTTTTAAAATCTCAACAGATTTTTTTATAATATTTTATTAATTTTCCAATTTTATGTTTAAGTATTTAAGAAGCAACGTGGGGGCTGGGTTAATCAATAGTTCAATAACAAAATCTTTAATACAAATCTCAAGTTACAACATCAAATATTTCCTCTCTTTTTCCCTTAACATTTACTATCTCATATTTAAGCTAATACAGTTCTTATTATGTCAACTCAATAAAAACATCATTATTACATTTAAATTTTAGCTTACATGTATCTTAATTATTTTTTACATTCAATCTTCATAAAAATCCATATCCTGTTATTATTTTTTCCCCAATTTTTGGCTTCCCATCAATATTGAAATTTACTCTTTAATATTTATAATTTTCAGGCTTTAAGCAGCCAAGATTTCCCTTATCTCAATTCATAACAGAATCTAATATCCAAAATACACATTTTATCTATTTGAATATAATCTTGTTCTATTTCCTAAAAGTTATCTATTTCCCACCATATTAAATCATCTACTTAATAATACAATATCCCCTTTAATAAATCAAAACTATTATATATATTACCAGGGTTAATCAATAAATCAAACATATTCATAATAATTATTTTTTTTCTTTTAGATTTAATTTTTAAATATTAAACAGGTAAAATCCTTATTTTCAACTAATTTCCAAATATTTTAAACCTAATGACCAGAATTCCCCTTATCTCAACTTCTCTCTTTAACCCTCTAATTAATAATATGAAATCCCCTCTAATAAATCAAACCCCCATTTTCTTCAGCCTTATTCTGGCTTTCTTCCTTTGCCAACTAGGCTTTCATATCAGTGCTTTTAGATCATCAAATAGATCTCCCTCTATTATTATATATGTTATTTGAAATAAAGGAGATCATTTAATTGCTATTTTTTGGGAAGGACTAGCCCATTTGTATTAAGTTGTCTCCCTATTATTCCAATTCCCCATGATTGCCCTCATATGTTTATCTTCCATTCACTCTATTTTTCTTCTTTCTCAAATTTCTTCTGATTTATATAGAAAGTCTTTTCCATTTTCAGTGTTGTCACTCTCTTTTCTGGATTTTCCATGAATTGTATTTGTTGGTCAATTGAGTCCTCTGTCTTAATATTTGATTGTTCTACTTCTTCTGTTATCTTCTGCGTTGTTAGTTCTTTGGTTGTAGTCAAAGTCTGGGTTTGTGTATCTAAACTGGCATCTTGATCTTTTATGTTAGGTCTTATTTTCTCACAAGCTGAAAGAATGGTTTCATGTATTGCTTTCAACATGGAAAGGATCTTTTCCTGGTCTTCATCCATCTCTTTCATGTGTTTATAAATAGTCTTTATAGTGGAAATCGCTTGTTAAGTAAGATTTTATAGTCCAAGGTATTTCATCATCTCATATAGTAACCAATATTCCTCAAATAAAGAGATAGGAAGGCAATTCCCCACATATAACTCTGAAAGTCAGTAAAGGTTTACATTCACTGTTCATGTAGGCCAGTTATGCCACTCAGCTGTTCTCTTATAGATTAGTTTCTCACAGGTGGTGCCAAGGTCAAAAGAGTCTTATCTAAGGTCAGGGTCACCACAAGATGTCACTGATGCTGTTTAAGATTTTTTAAGTCCAAAATTTTTATAATCCTTTTTCCAATTTTATTTCGTTTTTGTAGATAAAAGCAAAAGTCTCCAATAAAAATAGGAAAATTTTTCGTCCCCAAGTTTCAGGAACATATAAATCCAATTAGATTAAAGTTGTTCTTTTAGTGCTTTAGTTCCCCTGGGTAGTCAGTCGCCACTATTCTTAGAGGGTGGGGTAGAAATTCCCTTTCCTCTTTCCTCACAGGAGGAGAGATACTTCAGGCAGCTTTTACAGGAAAAGAAAATACTTAGGGTAAAGAGAAGATCGGATCTCACCCAGTTTCATCCACGTTGCTTTCAAAGTACTTGGTGGTAAGTTTGACTTTGGCTGTCTGCAGCCTAGTGGCGGGTCATATTACTATGGTGGTCTTTCCTCCGCCAGTTTGGAGGGCTGCCCCAGATCAAGCGGGAGGGCTACCTACAGGACAACTTCGACCCTTTCCTGGGTCCCCCAGTGGAGCGAAACTGAACGCAGAAGACAGAGCTCGCCTTCCAGTGGCTGCAGCAGCCGCGATGGCAAACCAAAAGTTGCTTCAAAAGATTTTTTTTTTAAATTGAATTCCCCTACCTATAATCCTGGCTACATCCACTTTTGCTTCTGGTCCCACTCATACTTTGCTTCTGATATGCCACCTGAAAAATAGAGCCCACCTCTGATGCACAGCATCTGAAAATGTGGATAGTTTATGCAGGACATCTAATCATGTTGATGGACCATGAAATGAAGCTGTTGAAAATGGTAGCTGCTGTGTCTGGTTCATCCCCATTAGAACTGGAGCCTTTAGACAAAATAACTTGGGATCACAAGACAAGATTGAGTGAAAACATGAGCAAAACGGAAGGTCAGCCTATGGTAAGGAAACTGAGCCTGATGGAGATCCCTAATATTTCATCCAAGTCAGATAAGAATTCTATTAAAGCATTTTCCAAATTTTGATCTGATTCAGGAATCAACAAAATATTTGGTTCAATTTATTTCAAGCATAGCTATTTGGGTCAAACTGGCAATATGAATAGACTGCCAAGTGACAAAATGATGCTTGCATTTAGCATCAATCTGCATAACGTTTTTTGAAAACTGAACTCTTTTTTCATTCTTCATGATTAAGAAGAAACACCAAAGAGGATAAGATGCAATACCAGCAATACTAAATCAGTCAGGAATATGTCCAACTTGTTCCAAAAACATGTCCTCCACCCAAAACAAAGCAAGATACTGACCGAGTGGCAGTTGACTCCATTGGCAACAGCATGCTTGTACCTTCCTATGGCTGTGACGCCCATAACATATGTACTACCTCCATGGTAGCTGCCCCTGCAAAAAGAAAACCATTATATTTTCAACCCCAGGTGATTAATTTCTCTGCTTATCTTTTTATATATTTAGAATCGCAGAAGCTGTATTCATTGCAGAATAAAGAAAAATAACACATTTCTGAAACTTAAAGAACTCTTGTTCAGCGGAATATGTTTTTGTCAAGTTCTATGCTCTTAGTGCTCTTTATTAAAACATTAGCACTCTTTCTTCTTGTTCATGTAGGCCAGTGGACAAATGCAATTGGCATATCAAATACATGCCTCCAAATCAATCAAAAGCTAGAGCAGTGATGGTGAACCTTTTAGAGGCCGAGTGCCCAAACCACAACCCAAAATCCACTTATTTATCGCAAAGTGCCAGGGCATTGTGGTGCCCTCAGGGGGGCATGGGGGTGTGGCCCACTGGGTGGGCATGGCTGAGGTGGGCATGGCCACCTCGATGTTGCTCATGGGGGGACACCTGTGGGGGCTGGGCAGGGTTGGGGGAGATTCATGGGGTTTCTGGTGGGTGGGGCGGTGGACAGGAGGCCAGCATAGACGGGGGGAGGCATGCAATCCTAGCTGGGACTGGGGGGCCATGGCACAGATGAGGATCCAGCTTTCCCTGCTTGGGGTGGCCTTTGGCTTGCTGGATGTGGGCATGCTCTACCACCTCTACTCGAGCTCACTAACTGGCCACTTCACATCCTTTGTGCTGGGTGCGGCTGCTGTCCAAGGTGGCAGCAGCAGCCTAATGGACCTGCACAAGCTGCTGGCAGTGGCGGCACACGTGCCCACAGAGAGGGTTCCGAGTGCCACCTCTGGAACGCATGCCATAGGTTTGCCACCACTGGACTAGAGAATCTTTTAGAAGTGGATTAGAAGGGGATTTCAAGAACAGAATAAAGAAGTTACTATTTTCCAGTAAAAATCTGCATCCCTAACAGTTGGCTTAGTTCACAAAAGTTTTCCTAATTCATTTCGAGTATCCAGTTTGAGGACCAGTTAGCTGAGTCAATGAAACTTCACAGGATTTGCTCTTTGTATTACAGACACTTTCTCAGTTTAGACTGTACACATGTGTAGTGGCTTCTTTTCATATCTGTGATGATCAGATCATCATCAGTTCTTTTTAAACTTGAGTGATCTAGAGCACGGGTTCCCAAGTCAGCACTCATGGCTATCCGGCACCCATATATGTTGGCCCCAGCTTGCTAGCTGATGTAAATTACAGATGGTAATACCGCTTTAGGTTTTCTCAGATTTTGCATGAGAATATCATAAGGTTTACCTATGATATTGTTAAAATCATACAGTTGTATTGATCTCATATATTTTGGGACAGTTCAGGTATGGTTGCATGCCTTTATTCCAATATTGGTTGTAAGAAAATATGAATATTTGAACACATATTTCATAAGGCTACTTCATATATTTCCTTATTATCAAGTTGTGTTATTAGACTACATATTTTGAATTATTGAGAAGTGGCTCTGTGGCTTAAAGACGCTGGAGAAGATCTATAGTTCAAGTCCTAGAACATGATGGGGTGAGCTCCCATCACTTGCCTCAGCTTCCATCAACCTAGCAATTCAAAAGCATGTTACATGCAAGTAGATAAATAATTGCTACTTCATGTTTGTGGGAAAAACAAGGCACTTCATGCAGGTTGCAGGATAGAAATTCTTTGGCATGAATATCTGCAAGCCATTTGCTAATTCTTAGAGAGAACACAGAAGCCACTGAAGAGAACAAATCACAATGCACAGAACAGAATTACCTCAAACAAATGACATCATTGTTGTGGGTGAAAATTCTTGCTATTAATAATGCCAGGTCGTTTGCTTCAGTACCACTATTAGTCAGATAAGCTACCTATGACAAAGATCGTGATGGAAATACATGGTTAGAGAAGAAACTGAGGCTACCAGATATCTAAATTCATGCATAATTACCAATCCAACCTATGCAATGTTAAGTTATTTTACAGGTAGTCCTCAACTTATGATTACAATTGAGCCCAAAATATCTGTTGCTAAGCAAGGCAGTTGTTAAGTGAGTTTTGTCCCAATTCAGATTTTTTCTTGCCACAAGTGTTAAGTGAGTTATTGCAGCTGTTAAGTTTTAATAATGTGGTTGTAGAATGAATCAGGCTTTCCAGTAATTTTGCTTGTTAGAAGGCCGCAAAACATGATCACATGACCCCAAGACACTGCAACCATCTTAAATATGAGCCAGTGGCCAAGTGTCTGAATTTTGACCAGGTGACCCTGGGAATACTGCAATGATTGTAAGTGTGAAAAAACAGTCACGTCACTTTTTTCTGCACTATTGTAACTTTGAACAGTCAGTAAATTAATGGTTGTAAGGACTACCTGTGTCTATCTTGCAAAATATATTTTGCATGGTTGATAGTGGCTTGTTCTCTGAGCTTGCAGTTTAGTTTCTGAATGTTTTGTCACCAGACCAGATGACATCCTCAGTGGGAGTTTGGTTGAAGCGTCTTGTTTCAGTTCTTCTCCGTTTTTATTGATCTCGTGTGGTGGGTGGGTCTGTGACCAGCTGGTCATGCCATGTGACTAGCTGGTCATTATGTGTGAAGGTCCAGAACAAAAATATTGGCCATGCCACCACATGGCATGCACATGACTTCACTGAAGCCTGGTATTCAACCGACGGATATGTCAGCAAACATGTTGACTTGGAGCCAGCCTACAAACCCATAAGGAGCTGTATTAATCTATCAACCAACCAACGAGGACACCGACCACTTCTTGTGATCTTCACACATAATGACCAGCCAGTCTCATGGCATGTCACACGAGGGGGGGATGGTGGTCACATGACCCACCAACCGCATGAGATCAATACTTCAACGAAGTCCTGATACAGATGTCACCTAACTTGGTGACAAAATGTTTGGAAGCTAAACAGCAAGTTCAGAGAACAAGCTAACAACATCTACCATCCGAGCTACAAATATTTCTATCATTTCTAATATATTTTGCATTTTCCATGGCTCCAACTCTCCGATTGTCACCATAAGTTATCCAGTTTCGACATTAGGGCCCAGTTCTTTTTCCCTCTACATAAATGACTTTTACAACATGCATCCAGCCCAACCCTCTGAAGCAGTCCTGAAGATGCCCAACTTGACACACCTTTAAGGAGCCGGGAAGCAGCGCAGTCAGCTTCTTGGAATATTCTTGGATTCCTGGATGCAAGTAGATGTTGCTCGTGTGTCCCAGGCGGCCAAGTTGTTTCTGACCTGCTGCAGTTACTTTCCTGGATACATTATTTTTTTTAAAAAAATGGCACTTTGTTTCCAATCTAATTTGTGGCAATATTGGTCCTTAATTAGGAGGCTAAGACAAAAAGGCTTCACCAAAATGTTGGAAATGCAAAGAATCGCTAGGGACCTATTACTATATGTGGTGGGAATGTTCAAAAGCACAACAATTTTGGCATTTGATAAAACAGTGGTTAGAAGAGATACTAATGCAGAACATTGAGCTAAGGCCAGAACTCTTTCTGCTGGGTATTACTAAGGATAGATACAATAAAGGATCCCTATACTTATTACTACACATGCTAACAGCAGCAAGATTAGTCTTTGCACAGAGATGGAAAGATAACGAGACACCCTCAGAAGAAGAGGTAATAAATAAGATTTTATCCTGTGCTGAAATGGATAGGTTGACGTTAGAACTCAAGGATAAGAGTGAAACAGATTATTATGAAATCTGGAACAAATTGTGTAATTGGTTGGGGAAAAATAGATGGAAAAACTCTCTGATTCAGCAAAACACATTGATCAAGAAAGATACTGATCAAAGGAAAAATATTAAAATATTAAAGTGAAAATTAAGAATATAGATAACGGCATCTACCAAAGAGAATATTTAAGAAAAAAAGAAACATCTGTTTGAACATGTGGATTGTGAATTATAGAAATCATTTGTTAACGATTTTCCTTTACAAATGTAAACCAAGCAAACACACTGTTAACCAACTATTATGTGATTTATGTTTTAAAAACCAATAAAGCTTTAAAAAAATTAGGAGGCTAAGACTTGAAGAAACATCTCTCCTGGTAAGTCTTTGCTTGAAGATTACAGTCTGGGGGATGGTGGTAAGGAAGCTCCTCATTGTCCCATAACTGGGGAAAAAACCCATTAGGGACTTTATTCTGGTGCTCTGAACCCTCTTCTTTGAACCCTCTTCCCCCAGAGGCCATGTTTGGCTAGTTCCTGCAGTTCCTGCTTTTTGATGACTGACATTCCATTCTCACATTTGGGACCTAGCATCTGAAAACAGTTTCCCCTTGATACCTTAAGTGACTATGTGTCAGTCTTATTCTAACTACTCTATGGCTGAACTGAAGATAGAATTTGAATTACATAAAAGTCAATGTGTGAATCAGTGTGTGTGGCTGTGTAGGTAGGAAGGTTGGTTTCTGAGAATGAAAGGTATGGAAAGTTTGAGGGAATGGTGTTCGTGTAAACAAAACTAAATTAAAATTCCATTTTTTTCCCTTCCTGCCTTTAATTTATTTTGCCTACTACTTCTGGGTTTCTTTCTGTGCCTTGCATAAAGTTGTTTACTCAAAAGGAAAGAGTTTGGTGAATAAATAAAAATGTACATATGTGATTTTACTGTTTTACTTTGCTTTTATCCTGAAATGTCACCAGTCACAATATTTTTTAAAGTAGTGGGCAGGCTGTATTTACAATAACGATAACAGTGAAGTGTCATGGCCCCATCCAGTGGTTCTCAACCTTTGGGTCGGGACCCCATTTGGGGTCGAACGACCATTTCACGGGGGTCGCCAAACAATGCAGTCCGCCATTTTTTTCCCCTTTTCCTTAGCTGTGCTACTCCCTTTTATTCTATTGGCCTTTGAAAGCCAATAGAATAGACTCTCTTGAATAGAGTCTAATTCTATTGGCTTTCAAAAGCCAATAGGAATTGTCCAGGCTGTCTCTGCCCTGCTAAGCCTGCCAGAAGTCCCATTCTGCAAATGGTGCTGCACCAGTTGAGTAGTCCTCGACTTACGACTGGTTGAGTAGTCCTTGACTTACGACCGGTTGGGGGTCGCGGCATTAAAAAGGTTGAGAACCACTGGCCCCATCGGATCCCGATTCAGAGGAGGAGGAAGAAGAAGAAGAAGAGTTGGAACTGGGACTGTCCAATGGGGATGGCATGTTTGAAGAGGACAGGGGCTGAGGATGATGCTGTCCCAGACCCTTCAGGCATTGGGGAAGGTGATTGAGACCTGCCTGCCCTCACAGGGGAGGATCAACTGCTGACAGACAGTGGTGCTGAGAGGCAGCAGATCCCCCCTGATGAAGAACAGCTGCCTCCCCCACTCAATCCAAGGGCACAGAGAGTGAAATACAGGCAAGCTCAAAGGAGGCCTCTAGGTCAGGGCTTTTCAACCAGTGGTACGGGTACCACCTGTGGTACATTGGCACCCGGCAGGTGGTATGCGACCATCCTAGAAAAGTGGTAGCGAGGGAGGGGAATGAGCTGAACTGGTAGCAGCACTGCACAAGCCTGAGAGAGAGATAGTTGGAGCTGCAGGGCTGTCAGGGCTCAGCGGAAGCATCAGGATCAACGCCAGGCTCCAGCTGGAGCTCGGCGCTGATCCTGGTGCCTCTGCTGAGCCCTGAAGAAGCACCAATCAGCTGGAAAGCAGCACTGATCCTGGCACTTCTGCTGAGCCCAGAAGAAGCACTGATTAGCTGGAATGTTGCAGCATCTCCAGGGTCTTGTGATTTACATTCAGATGCTTGGCAACTGATTCATATTTATGACAGTCACAGTGTCCCAGGGTTATGTGAAGTGACCAAAACCTGCTGCAACCATCCAGCAGAGGGGGAGGAGAATAAAAACCAAACACCCCCCCTACCCCACCCCTGCTGCCAATCCTCAACAGAAATGCTCACAACAATGAAAACCTCGGACAGGAGGAAGAGTGCAGCCGGGCGGGCAGGCAAGTGTCTTGCTCGGCTGTGGCTTGGGGGGCACTTTTTTTCAGTGCCATTGTAACTTCAAACAGTCACTAAGCGAACTGTTGTAAGTTGAGGACTATCTGTACTTTATCACTTTTTTCCTTTTTTTTTTTTTTTGGTCATCAAGTTTTTGTCACCTTGCTAGGCGATTAGTGGTACTCGGATGTTGTCATATCCTAAAAGTGGCACAGTGGGTGAAAAGGTTGAAAAGCCCTGCTCTAGGTTGCCCGGGAGAATGTTACCCCACCCCTCCTCACAAGGAAACACTTGGCACGGGTTGAGTTAAGCAGAAGCCAGGGAAGTCTGTCTTTGTCAGGAACAATTTTTTGCTTTGGCTTACGCTCCTCCAGCTTTGGAAAAACTCCGCTTTGACTCTTGTTTTTGCCTGTGCCTTGCCTTTACCTTGTGGACTTGCTTTACTCTGTGAACTTGCCTTTGGCCTTGTGGACTTGCCTGACCCTGTGGAATTGCCTGGCCCTTTGGATTTCCTCTCTGCCTTTATGAATTGGTTTTGTTTGTTGATTAGCTTTTGTTTGTGGGACTGAGGGTGGCTGCCTTCAGAGAAGTGTGGTGTGGAGCCTTACCAGCCATTGTAGGGCCATTTGTTACAGCAGCTAACAGGGCAATAAAAGACTCCATCAATACCTGCTTCTGTCTAGGTCAGGGGTAGGCAATCTTGGCTCTTTTATGACTCGTGGACTTCAACTCCCAGAATTCCTGAGCCAGCCATGCTGAGGGGAAAGGGAGAGGTTTCCATGCTGAGCCATACTGGCTCAGGAATTCTGGGAATTGAAGTCCACGAGTCATAAAAGAGCCAAGGTTGCCTACTGCTGCCCTAGGTGACCTGGGTCATAACAGTGAACTAAGATGCTGCAGCATTTACAGAAATGGAAACAAACTTAAGTCACTAGAAAATAAGACATTATAGGAACACTTTCAGAAATATATCTTTAAACAAGTAAAACATCACCATGGGTATTTCTCTGCCCATAAGTCCAATTAAATAAGGATTATACCTGTTCAAAATAGCTGTGATGTCAGATCATCCAGGTCATGGTTGTCCCAAAGGTGTTTTTTCCCCGAAAGGCAACTGGACTTTCTTGTTTTTTTTCTTGAAAACATTTTCTTTGAAACATTTCAAAGAAAAACTAAAGAAGCTTCTTGGATAACAAGCAAAATGTTTTCAAGAAAAAAAAACAAGAAAGATCAATTGCCTTTTGGGAGAAGCACCTTTGGGATGATGTCAGAAAAGCTAAGCCAATAGCAACAATAGGAAAAAAAAATGTTTCCTGGGTTTTGCAAATGGCACACACTGTGAATGGAATTCAGTCATGCTAGTCCATGCATATAAGCTTAGGTGTTGAAAGCTTACTTACGGATGGCAGTGACCAACACTGACAGTAGCGATTCCAGCAAAGAAATCAAGGTATCTTCGTCCTTCAAAGTCAAACAGCCACTGCATGTGTCCTTGATGGATCAGGAGTGGCCTCTTATAACAAGTTAATAGGGACGGGAACACGTTGTCTTGGCGGATCTTCAGTATTTGTTCATAAGTGTGGGACTATAGCAAAACATAAAAAAATTATATGTGTGGTGAATGTCAGCACAACATCAGATCAAATAAAGACCAAGTGGCTACATTCAAACAACATGGTAAGATTGTTTAATTTTAACCTTACGTTTTCTTTCTTTCCTTTTTAGTGGCTATACCTGATGCGTGAACCCAACCCAGAAGAAGAGGAATTATTCTTCCTTTCTATTCTGAATCTGTCAGTCTGCACAGATGGTTTTGAGTTTTAAGTCTTCTGTTTAGGACAGACATTGATAAATTAAAACATGTCCAGAAGAAAACATGTTGACTAGGGAATTCTGGGAGCTGAAGTCGTCTCCTCTTAAAATTGCCAAGGTTAAGAAACACTGGTCTAGCCTGATGAACACTAAGTGGCAGGGATTGTTTAGCATTTCTGGCAGGAATTCTCCCATCGATTCTGCAAGATGCCACAGATGGGACCAAAGATCTGCTAGTTTTCACACATGCTCAACTCCTGACCTAAAACCTTATCCAAGCTTCTGTATGACAATAGCAGCAGCAATAGAAATAGCACTTAGACCAGGGGTGTCAAACTCAATTTCATTGAAGGCCGCATCAGCATCGTGGCTGCCATTGGGGGGCCGGGTGGGTGTGGCTGGCATGGGCGTGACCTACTGGGTGGGCGTGGCCAGCTCCATGTCACTCACGTCGGGCACCTGTGCAGGCCTGGGCAGGAATGAGGCGCATCCGAGGGTGGGGAAGGGTGGGTGGCACAGGGGGCGAGCGCCAGGGCATGGTCCACTGGAGGAGCCTCACTAAGCCTCAGGCTGTGCACGGGTCGCTGGACAGGGGCATGGACTGCCCAGAGCCCTGGGCAGCAGAGGTCAAGTGCCCAGCCCAGCCCTTGACTCCCACAGCACCAGACCCTACAGCCCTGCCTAGCCTAGTCGCACTTCCCCGAGGGGGTGCCCAGCTGCACTTATCTCCTCCTTAATGCTGCTGCTGCTGTGCTCACTCTTCTTGGCCAGGTTGCTCATGGTGGGTGCAGGAGGAGGTCTTTAGTCCAAGCTCCTGCTGAAGCAGGGCACATATACCATTCCAGACAATGGAATATCCAATCTCTACTAAAAGCCTCCAGTGATGGAGCATCCACAACTTCTGAAGGCAAGCTTTTTCACTGGTTAGTTGTTTTCATAAGTCCTTAGTTCTAGGTTGGTTTTCTTCTTGATTACTTTCCATCTATTATTTGCCTTCTGGTGCTTTGGAAAATAGGTTGACCCCTTCTTCTCTGTGGCAGCCCATCAAATATTGGAACACTGCTATCATGTCACCACCCCTAGTCATTTTCACTAAGCTAGACATACCCAATTCCCACAAACATTTGTCATTATGTTTTAGCCTCCAGCCCCCTAATCATCTATGTTTACCATCCATTTAGACCAGATGGTCCCCCTGGTTTGGTTTATAGAACAGTGGCCACAAGCAGAGCCTTCTCAGAGACAGCACCCCCATTACAGAACTTTCTCCCAAGGAAAATATGAACAGTGCAACCCTCACCCATTTAGAGGCAACTCCAAATACACTGTTCAGCTAGGCATACATAAAACAACAACACATTTTATGGCCAAATAGCACTAGTAAATTACTACTACTATTTTTCTTTCTTAAAATACATACTTTTAATATTGTTTTAAGCAGTGCTAGTGATGCTTTACAATAGCTGCCTTTGAGAGTTTTCTTGTAAACCACCCTGGATTTCTCAGAAACTTTTAATTTCAAATTAGATGTTGATTTAATAAATTAGGCAGAAGAAACAAATGTTTAAATACATCTAAATCCCACAGACCTACTGCCTCCTAGGCGCATACTGCAGAGAAAATAAGGCATTGCATTTCTAGCCAGCATAGCCACAGGATGGTGGGAACTGTGGTTCATGACACCCAAAATATATTAGTTTGGGTAAGGCTGGATTAAATTATAAAAGAGTAGATGAAGGGAAGTATTTTTGTCTCCGACAAAATAATTTGGGAGGGGGGAGTTGACTTAGCCTTTTAATTTCAACTCACACCAATTCCTAACTTCCCATTCAATCCAAAGAGTTTTATTATTGCCTGGATTTTAGGGAGGGGGGGAGGCAAGAATAGACCACAAAGCTAATATGCAAGTTTGCTGTCTAGCCGTCTGCACACTACCTTCCCGTGTATGTGTGTATGTGTATGAGAGACAGAGAGAGAGAGATCCCCTTTTTGTAAGTTTGCTTACTCTGCAACTCCCTGCTGGCTCAATCTCTCTCTCTCTCTCTCTCTCTCTCTCTCTCTCTCTCTCTCTCTCTCTCTCTCACACACACACACACACACACACAGGTTAATAAAAAAGAGGAGGGGGAGAATGGTGGAAGCTTTCCTTTTTTGTAAAACCTCGGCTTCCTCCTCCCCTCCTGGCTCTGTGTCTCTGTCTCTCTTAAACATACACACACACCCTTCCTGTTTTCTCCTCCTCATCCTTTTCCTCAGCTGCACTTGAATGGAGTGGAAGAATGGGGAAAGCTCTCCTTTTTTGTAACACCCCGGTCCTCCTCTTCCACTCCTGACTGGGACTGATGGGGTTAAGCAGGGAGAGGAGGGGCGGGCTAAAGCAAGTGAGCTGCTGCTGCTGCTGCATGCCACCAGCCCGGAGTGCTGTTTCGGCTCAGCTCGCTGTTTCCTGCACGTGCTCCAAGGCACCCTGCAGGGTTGCAGTGGGTTAGGGCTGGGGCAGCAGGGGCCGGTCCCTTGCCATTTCTTGGACAGCCCCAGGGGGCCAAATCTGGGCCCTCCCCGGGCCGCATCCGGCCCGCAGGCCTTGTGTTTGACATGTCTGACTTAAACTTATATACTGCTCCATAGTCCCTGAGCAGTTTACAAAATCAGCCTATTGCCCCCAACAATCTAGATCCTCTTTTGCCGACCTCGACCTCGGAAGGATGGAAGGCCTAGACAACCTTGAGCCCCTCAGGATCGAACTCCAGGCTGTGGGCAGAGTTAGCCCGCAATACTGCAGTCTAATCACTGCGCCACCCGGGCTGAATCACAGTAGACGTTTGTTTGGTTTGATCCACTGCATTTAGTTCCCATTGGTATCAATGATACCAATCATCTGTAATAAGCAAGACTAGCATAGGCTTACATCATACTTCTCAGGTACAAAGTCACATGGAGGCATTTTTGGTTGGAGGCAGGAAGAATTTTTCAGTTCTTGATACTGATGCACCTCTAACAAAAAGAAATGCAGATTAATACACTTTTCAAAGCCCATCACAATAGCCATCTACCTGGAATGCAATTTAATTTCCCAGCAAATCATTTTCACCTTTTAAACATTGCCTATAATGGATGAAATGTCATCTCAAACTTTGTGAATGAATCTGAAATTGCACCTCATGGGCCAGGAGGGGACACTGGAAAGAGTTCTTGTACTAATCTGAACTCTGGTTTTTTTAAGAGTATAGACAAAAGAAGTCCCGGAGTTAAATCCACCTCTTTGCTTCAGGAACAATTTTTGTATCATGTACTTAGTGGGGTTTCATTTGACATCATCTGCGCCATCCTCCCGCCTTCCAAATGAATTGGATGACAGTTTCCATCATCCTCACCAGCATGAATATTCTGTTCCTCGCAAGTCAGAAAGAGTGGGAATTATAGCATGTCTGGCATGTCTAGAGAGCATATTAAGAGAGGCAAATTGTACCTATCGAAAGATCGAGTGCCCTGGATTGGGGGCGACACTGAATTGCATCCTATAGTATTGATTTCCGAGAGAACGCGCGAAGGCTCGGACACCAACCCCATCCTACGACAGCGAGCCAATTAGGAGAAGCGCAACGCGAACAGGAGCGGGATAATTTTCCCCGTGCGGGATTCCCAAATCACCAGCGCAAAAGTCGCGCGTGCGTTCTCGCTTTCAGACGACACTCCTGACCCGGGCAGAACGCCGGAAGAGGCTGTGGGTGCTTTTCGCCCCTTCTCATTCCTGCCCGCTCCTGCAGCCTCCGCCAGATCTTTCACCCAGATTATATGCAATATTATGTTAATATTGCATATACTTGTGCGTGATGTATATTATATATATTTAATAATTCGTAGGGTTAATACTTTGGGAGGGAAGGAAGGATGCGTTGTCTAACGGGTTGCGGTTTGTAGCTGTGACCGCATTTTCAGAAAGTGGTTTTGTAGGTTCTATATGAATGAAAGGGGAGTGGATCGAGACTACACCCGCCCCTTTGGGGCTGTGGGACATTCATCCTGCTCGTTGCAACTTCGGGACAAATGCACTCTGAACATGCTCGGGGGCACGGCGGTCACCAGCCCCGTGGAAAGGCTGATACTCGCCGAGCAAAGGAGAGACACCGAAAGAGCGTCTCCAGACGGCCCCTTCCCGGCTGCCTCCACTTACCTCTCCCCGGGAGGGCTAGCGCCGTGGAAGTCCTGTTCCTGGCCAAGAGCCGAGGCCAGCGGGCGAGGAGGAGCCGCGCTGAGCTAGCCATCTTTTCGCCGCTTCAGCAGCCCAGGCGAGCGGCGTGGACTTTAAAATCGATGCGGCCCACCAATAGCAACGGAGCTGCCGTTCCCGCCTCTTGGGCCAGCCTCCCTTGATTACTCCTGCAGGCCCCGAGTTTAACCGAAAGGGCAACTGGGGCCGAGGAGCGTGTGAAGGAACGCAATGCCTCTCGGCGGGCTAAGTTCGTACATCCAAGAGAGTTGCTGTGCATGAGCAAAGTGTTCCTCTTCATAATAATAATAATGATGATAATAATAATAATAATAAAGTTGGGAGGGACCTTGGAGGTCATCTAATCCAACCCCTTGCTCAGGCAGGAAACCTATACCATTTCAGACAAATGGCTGTCCAGTCTCTTCTTAAAAACTTCCAGTGTTGGAGCATCCACAACTTCTGGAGGCAGGTTGTTCCACTAGTTAATTGTTCTAACTGGCAGGAAGTTTCTCCTTAGTTCTAGGTTGCTTCTCTCCTTGATTAGTTTCCATCCTGCTTCTTGTCCTGCCTTCGGGCGCTTTGGAGAATAGCTTGACTCCCTCTTCTTTATGGAACACTGCTATCATGTCCCCCCTCGTCCTTCTCTTCGTTAAACTAGACATACCCAATTCCAGTAACCGTTCCTTATATGTTTTAGCCTCCAGTCCTCTAATCTTTGTTGCTCTTCTCTTTACTCTTTCTAGAGTCTCAACATCTTTTTTACAACGTGGTGACCAAAACCTTTCTACCCCTTGCCGTCACGCTCCTTCACCCTTCCCTAATGGATATCTCCACTGCCTTCCTGTCATCTTCTCCTCCTCAAATCTCTGTCTGCCTTTCTCACCTGCAGCCTTCTTATATCTTTGCTGACAATTCTACTGGGCTGGTTCTGATTTAGACCGATTTCCCCCATTCACGTAGTTCCCCCCACCTGAGACATTGGAAGATGGGTAAAATGGGCCTTCTGGACTTGGCCAGGTTTTCAACAGGCCTTGAGAGATGAAACCGCTGTACCACATCTTCCATAAATCCTGGAGCACCAGGGAAGTACCTGAAGATTAGAAAAAGGCTGGTATGGTTTTCATCTTGAAGAAAGGGGAAAAAACAGACCCAGGAAACTACAGACCAATCAGTTTAACATAAATAACTGGGAAGATCCTAGAAAAGATAATCAAAAAACAGATCTGTGAACAACTAGAAACCAACAAAGTCATAACTAGTAGCCAGCACGCAAGGTTACGTCTTAGGCCCAGTACTCTTCAATATCTTCATAAATGACTTAGATGAGGTTATTGAAGGGGAACTTATCAAATTTGCAGATGACATCAAACTGACAGGAGTCAACACCCCAGAAGACAAACTCGGGATCCAAAAAGATCTTGACAAACTTGAACAATGGGCCCTATCCAACAAAATGAGTTTCAATGTGGAGAAAAGCAAAGTCTTACATTTAGGCAGGAAAAATCAAAGGTACAAATACAGATTGGGCGAGACCTGGCTTAAAAACAGTAACGGTGAGACAGACCCTGGAGTCTTAGTGGACAATCACTTGACTATGAGCCAGCAGTGTGCAGCAGCAACCAAAAAAGCTAATACAGTCCTGGGTTACATAAACAGAGGCATAGAATCAAGATCACATAAAGTATTAGTACCGCTTTATAAAACCCTAGTAAGACCACATCTGGAATAATGCAGCCAATTTTGATCATCTTATCACAAAAAAGATGTTGAGAATTTGGAAAAAAATTCAGAGAAGAACAACTAAGATGATCAAACGCCTGGAAACTAAAACATACGAAGAACAGTTGCAGGACTTGGGTTTGGCTAGTCTAAAGAAAAGAAGAAATAGGGGAGACATGATAGCAGTATTCCAGTATTTGAGGGGCTGCCACAAGGCAGAGGGGGCCAGGTTGTTCACCAAAGCACCAGAGGAAAGGACAAGAAACAATGGTTGGAAACTGATCAAAGAGAGAAGCAACCTGGAACTAAGGAGAAACTTCCTGACAGTGAGGACAGTCAACCAGTGGAACAACTTACCCCCAGAAATCATGGGCACTCCATCACTGGAGATTTTTAAGAAGAGACTGGACATTCACCTGTCTGAGATGGTATAGTTCTCCTTGAGCAGGGGGCTGGACTAGAAGACCTCCAAGGTCCCTTCCAGCTCTATTCTATTCTGACTGATGAATAAATGATGCTGGCTGTCCAAACCAAGTTGAATCCAGCCAGGAAGGTTCACAAAGTCAGAACTTCCCAGTCTTAGCAACTTTAAAAGATCTGGCTGGTTGGGGAATTCTGGTTTATTTATTTGTTTGTTTAGCGTATGACATACATGCATTAGCAATATAAATTAACATTTCAATTAGATCAGTGGAACCTAATAAAATATACATGTTAAAAAGATCTATGTTCAAATATCAATGTCCAGGCCTTCTAACCCACTGAAGTGCAGAATCATTTATATTTTTAAAAAATCAGACACTGGACTTCAGCTTACAGCCAGTTATGATGTGATCTACAGTTTGATGTGGCCCTGCAGTCACACTGAGGGAAGGATACTATGCCCCATTTACACAGAGAGTCCCGGCAGATGCCAAGTGAGGACCAATCCTATTCAGGATTGTACACTGCTGACATGGTAGTTCAAAGCCTGGCCCCTCTTTTGTAGGGGTCACTTATATGTCTTCCTATAACTGGGCATTCAGTGACCCATTTGGCTTTCCATTGGGAACTGAGGTTAAAATTGTTGGGCAGATGTTGTGCACCAGGTCTTATTTTCAGGGGGTGTCTTTTCCATGGTCTCACCTTGCTGCCGTGGCAACAACAGCCCCACCCAGCAGCCCACTTCTGCGACCGAAGGAAATGCCTCTGAAGGCGAAATGCAGGCCGGAGTTCCATTCTCAGCTGCAGAGGCATTTCCTTCAGCCGTAGAAGTGGGATGGCGGAGCAAGGCCTCATGGAAGGCCTGCCTGCAACGGTAAGCGGTAAGCGGGGAGCAGCTTCAGCTCCCACTGCTGCCGTAGCTTGATTTTTAGGTGTGCGCCTCACTCCAAAAGTAGGATTTATTTTGGGGGTAGGGCTTATATTAGGCCCACCCCCCAAAAATAAAGCTAGGGCTTATTTTCAGGGTAGGCCTTACGGTAGCTGGAAGTATGAAAAATCCTGAAGTTATAATGCATCTTAAAGCATCTGCTGAGAGGACAAAATAAATGAATCTCAAGCACTTTTCCCTTGTTAAGACCTTTATATATTACAACTGATTAAAATAGACTTAAGTCTTTCTAATTTGACTAAGGATTATTAAGGAAGTGGATTTCACATTAACATAGTTTAACATCGACTCAGGACATCAAAGATGGGTCCTTGTTCGCCGCTGAGCAAATGTAAGTTTCTGTCTTTAAATTATTCTGTGCCAGTGGTGTCTGCAGAAAGCTGTGAGAATGTTGAAGTGATGAAAGCACATGGTGACATCATGTGACTGGCATGTTGTTTAAAAAATATTATAAAAGAAGCCATAGCACAGGGGTTCTCAACCTTGGCAACTTTAAGAATTCTGGGAGTTGAAGTCCACAAGTCTTAAAGTTGCCAAGGTTGAGAACCCCTGCCATAGCAGATAGCTAGAAGGAGCAGGGTGGTGGTGATGGATGGTATTCTATATGAGAGACAATGTGGAATAGTAGTTAAGGAAATGGTCTAGGACAGTGGTTCTCAACCTGTGGGTCGGGACCCCATTTGGGGTCGAACGACCATTTCACGGGGGTCACCAAACAAGGCTGTCCGCCATTTTTTTCCCATTTTCTTTGGCCATGCCCCTGGCACCCGGTGATGTATAAGTGGTTGGGGGTCACCACAACATGGGGAACTATATTATGGGGTCGCGGCATTAGAAAGGTTGAGAACCACTGGTCTAGGATCAAGGAAATGTTCTTCATGATCATTCCAGAGTGATAAATCTGAGCTGTCCAAATTAGGCATTAACTAGACATTGACCCTCATTAGGATCCAAACCAATGGCCCCATTGTTTGGGCAATTGTGATAAATGAAGTCCAACCCATCTTCAAGATACCATTTTGGGATACCCGCTCTTAACAATAAGGATAGATGATTGCACTGGAGTTCTTAGGAAAACCAAGAATAAGTTCAGCAAAATCTTCAAGAGATATTGTACAGGTATTTCTTGAATTACGACCAATTGCTTAGAGAGCATTCAGTTATGATGGATCACTCAAAAAATATTTATTACCCAGTTCCAACAGCTGGTCCTCCCTGTGGTCATATGATGTATGTGGGGCATTCAGCAACCAGCCTGCATTTATAGTTGTTTGCAGCATCCCTTGATCACATGACTTTCTGGTTTCCAGCAAAAACACTTCATGGTGAACAATGGATTTGCCTAATGACTGCAAATTTGCTTTATGACCACCACAGAAAAGGTCATAAAAACAGGTTCAATCATATGATGATGCACTTTATGATCATCATGATTTAATGATTGTAATGGGCATGTAATAATTATCTACATAATAATTATCATTATTATCATTATAATAATGAATTCTGCCATTGTTGGCTGGGATTGTGTGGATCAACTGGATTGCAGGAAGCGGTGAAAGTTTATGTTGAATGGGCTAGATCAAGGATGTCAAGCTGCCAGCCCGTGGGCCGGATGCATCACACCAACACCGCGCCCACCCCATTGCCGGGAATGGGAAAAAAGTCGTGATATGTCATGACAAGTTACGTGACGTCGTGAGTTTGACACCCGTGGGCTAGAACATGCACTCCCTCTTCATTGTGAGTTTTTAATTTAGTAAATACAGTAATTTACTAAAAGAAATAGAACTAGATTTCAAAATGTGTTCCAGAAACAATTTAATGCATTGAAAAAATAACATGAACCTCCACTCACATTAAATTAACATGCCTTTAAAAAAATAGGTATGTCAGAAAAGAATACAAGACACAATTATTGATCATGAAAGTAAAATCTTGTTTAAAGAAATAGTAAGTTAATCAAAGCAAGCTGTGATTGCCCTGTTACTTTCAACTAAGCAGTTCATCTTCG